GCAACATGACAAAAGCCATAAGAAATTGTGTAGAGCTACTGCTTCTTACTAACTGTTTTGGTGTTCTAGGAATTCTTTTAAGCCAAATAATTTCCCATATTTTAATATTCTTTTGGGAGTTGAGATGACGACGTTTTGGTAGAACTTTGTGCCGACCATGAATATAGAAATTAGGTGATTAAAATACCCTTTGCAATTCATATATTAAAACAGTAGATGACATGGCGATGATTTGGCTATACGTGATAGAATCGAAGCAACGAGTTATCATGTTCTAAACTTCTTGATTTATTTTTTTATTAACACCATCTCTTCCACTCATCTTTACATTTTTCAACTCTCAATCATTCTGCTTAAATTTTTTGTTTAAACTTGTGGGTATTTATTTCAGATTACTGGGAAAGAAAAGCTGAATTTCCATAGTTAAATACACATAATAGCCAAAAGGCCCATGCACTGATTCTAGTCGTTGTGGAAATATACATGTGAATATGTTAAGGGTTTTGTTAATGAGTGTTTCGGCAGTACTTGTAAAACACGTAACTAAATGAATTTTATTATTTTCAAAGCACTGTTTTCCTTGTGTTATGCACAATCAATGCATTGGAAATTAAACTATTTTTATACGGAATGTTTAACGAGGGTACTGGTTAACAAGACCGCAAGTCAATTACCAGATCAACTTTTTCAGTGTTATTTTGCCGACATTGATAAGAATACAATTGTCCCCAAAACAATGTTATGAATATTGCAACTTGTATAGTTGGAATCGGGAATTCTAATATTTCATTACTAAACCACCAACGTAGATACCAATCTCCTAATAGCACTTGTGAAAAAAAATATCTGTTTTGGATGGAGACAACAATAAAAATTCAAATCTTTCCACTGCAAAAATTCGATTGTTCTATGTGCAAAAGTAGTAATTTTTTTTTCGTGCTTGTAAATTTCAATAACTATTGGTAAGTATAAAGAAAATCTGTTAGTAAGGAAAATGACCAGTGACTTTTTTCTTGGTAACTTATTAGTGATTTGTATATATTTTTGTGAAATTACAATCTTTTTTGGTAGATTGCAAATTGAAAATTATCGCAACAGTTTACTAACTTTTATTTGTACGCTTTGAAATTACTATCTCTTATATGAAATCATAGATCTAAATTAAAGTGATTTACCAACAAGTTTTGGGTCGCCAACTTAAGTTTGAGTTACTTATCCACGTTTAATTACTTTTTTTATTTAAACTTTTCTATTGAGTTATTAATTTTTATTTTCCTTGGTTAGCAATCTCTTACATTTACTAACTATTTTCGAAGATTACCAACCTAAATTAGCATGACTCACCAACTTTTCTTCCATTAAATTGCCACCTATATTGGGTTACCAACTCTAGTCTGAGTTATTTACCAATATTTGTTGGAATTTTTTTATTTTCCATCCTTTTTAAGAAATGATCAACCTTAATTAGAGCAACATTCTGAATTTTCTCTAATTATGTTACCAATTAGTTTTGGGTTATCAACTTTCATTTGAATTACTTATAAACTTTTTTTGCTATTACTTACTAAATTTTCTTATCCTTTACCAATTTTTATTCACCTTTATTAATTAACCCTTAAATTTACCAAATCTTTATGAAAATACTAAATATAATTTAATTGAATAGCCACGATTACTTAATAAACTAGTGTTGGATTAGCAACTCTCACTTAATTTAGTTATTGATATTTACATGAATACGGACTTTCTATTTGGTTAGTAAATTGGGAATAAATTTGGTAAATCACTAAAGAAAGGTTGGTAATTTCATATGATAGTAAGTAAATTTAAGGTTTTAGAAATAAATTTAAATTAAAGTCGACAAATAATAACATAAATATCTCTTTGTCATAGATAGAGAAATTGGTTGTTTAGAAAAACCCAAATAGACATTTGTAACTAATTCAACTAAAAATTATTAATGCAACATTAGTTGATAATTTGATCGTAGACAATGGTTGTTGATAAGGAAAATGCAAGTAGTAACCCAAAAGAAATAATCGTTAAATTAACAAAAAAATTATTAACGTTGTTAAGCAACTCAAATGAGAGTTAAATCAAAACTAGTTGGTCGGAGAATAGTTGTTAAGACCAACCCAAAAGGTTGGTAATTTCACATAACAGTTATTAAATTTTAAGGTGTTACTAAGAAAAATACATAAAAATTGATATAATCTAAGAGTATGCTTTTTATTAGAGATAAGAGAAGTTGGTAATTTAAAAATAAAAGATAAAAATGTACATTGGCAACTAACTCAAATAAGAGTTAGTAAAGCAGAACTAATCAGCAACTTGATCAAAGAAAAGTTATTAGTAACTCTCACTGAGGTTGGAAGTTTCAAAAAAGAGTAGGCTGATATGAAAATCTTGCAAGCAAGGTAAATAAAAATGGCAACTAAAATTAATAATTAATAAATGTAAGAAAAAACACATAAATGTTGGTGATCAACTCAAATGAGGACCGGAATTGTTTTTGTGAGCGACACAAATAAAGATTGGTAATTTCATATAATAATCGGTAAATATAACATATTTAAAAGAGAGATAAATAAAAGTGTAAAAACGATAGCAATAGTTAATGTACTAAGAAAAATAAAATAAATATTGGTAAGAAATTCAAATGAGAGTTGGAGGTCCAAACCTAGTTGACAATTTATTTGAGAAAGGTTGGTAAGTTACTCAAATAAATATTGGTAAATACATCTGGGAGTTGGTAAATTTAAGGGGTTGTTAAGGTTAAAAAAATATTTCGACCAAAAAACACTATATAAAAGAAGTAGCAATTTCATTGAAGTGTCGATAGTGACCAACAAGTTACCTGAAAGATAGGCGATAAAAGCTTTTTTACCAATATTTTTATTTTTCACACGTATAAACTTTTTCATAAATTTATTTGCATGAAAAAAAGTCCATTTTTTTGTGTGTGTGTGGATAAGTGTATTGGAAGTCCTAAAACTTTTCACAAAAGTGCAATTGGGTCTTAAAACTTTCAAAAAGTGCAATGAAATCCTAAACTTGTCACGAAAGTGTAATCGAGTCCTAAAACTTTCAAAAAAGTGCAATTAAATCCTACAACTTGTCAAATTAGTTATCTCTGTTGATTAGATTTTTTGAAAGTTTTAGGACTCGATTGCACTTTCACGACAAAGTTTTAGGATTTGATTGCATTTTTAAAAAAGTTTTATGGGCTTAATAAGACTTTCGTATAAGTTTTAAAACTTTCGGTGCACTTATCACTTTTTTCTTAACAATAGTACAGTAGAATTGACCCTTGCACTTTGGTTAAAGGTACCAGATTTAAACAAAGTGTAGAATATGTTCCATGAATTGACTGCTTCTGAGTTCACATCAATGTATATACCAAGACCAAAAGAGCATCCAATTAATAAACACGATGCTACAAATAAAAAGTCCGATAAGCAAACATCAGTATCACATGGAACAACTCAACACGGTGCTGACTTTCCGTCAATTTGATGAAAATTGGAAAACAAATTTCTTCATAATGTATTTTTTTTCTTAAAAGGGAAAATGACATAAGTAGTCCCTGAATTTTAACCAAATGTGCAATATGGTCCTTAAATTAAAGCCCAATGTGTAATGTAGTCTCTGAACTTTCAATTTGAATTCAATGTGGTCCTTGAATCTTTTTACATGTTCAATTTAATCCCTAAACTATATGAAAATGTCCAATATTGGACATTTTCATATAGTTCAGGGACTAAGTTAAAAAGGACAGACCCACCTGCGCATGGTCGAGTTGGTGGGCGCTTTCCTTCCCTCAGAGAGGTTCTGGATTCGAATCTTCGCTCGGTTCAAGTAATTTAAGTGGGGCCTTCCAGCGGTGGGTTCTTGGGCTAGTCTCCCCGAGGTATAGGCGCTCAGGGTTACTGCAGTGCGGGCTCGTCCCCGAGGAATGGTAGCGGATCCTCGGTTACAAAAAAAAAAAAAAGTTAAAAAGGATAACATTGACCATTTTCATATAGTTCATGGGCTAAGTTAAATATGTATCAAAAGTTTAGTAACCACATTAAAATTAAAAGTTTAAGGATTACATTGTATATTGAAATTTAAAGTTAAGAGGCCATATCGAATAAATTAAAAATTCAGTGATGGCATTCTTGCATTTAGCAAAAATTCAAAGACTATTTGTGTTATTATCTTTTTTAAAATGAAAAATTAGAAATAGACATGCACGTCTGATGTATGGAGTCGCTCTCTCGTCACTTTCCCCAGCAAAAAACAAACACAAAGGTCGGCCGTTGAAATCGAGTCCTATGGCCCAACGACATTAACAAAAAACGAGCTGTCATCTTCTTTCTTTTTGCTGTCCAACTCATCACCAAAACAAATTTCTGCGGGACATCTTAACCCGACAAAAGTAACGATTCATATATTAAACAGACAAGTTGTACCATATCGACGAATCATTGTAGTCCGTTTTGTAAATCTCTATGACGACACAATAGGTTCTTAGATCATCCCAAAGTTTACTAATGCGTCTTAATTCGTGGAAATTGTATCTATCGCGTCCGAGAGACTAACGTTTAATATAATCCTGATGTCTAAGATTTGCCATTGCCCCATGGAATTCGATGGTCCAAATATATACCATTTTGGGTGGATGCAACAACTATTTCTTACGAAAGAAATCTACCCAATTACATTTCGCGTTATCTTCCTGAAAAAACCTGAGTCGGTCTGACCAAATATTCAAAAACCGGAAAAGTATATTAAATTGAATATAAATCGTTAGATCCGAGGGGATCCATGTAAGGCCCGCCGTTTTTAACGATTTGAATTCATATTTAGTACGTGTATTGGGTCGACGCAATAATTTTAGTCCAAAAAAAGAAACAATCTATGTGCAATGTCCCTTGCCGTTGCCATGAGAAGAAAATTAAATTCGTTGCTGTTCTTTTCTACAACTCTCCCCGAGCATCTTTATTAGAACCTTCCCTTTGTGGTCGCACACTAGCACGTTATCTTCATCTCTCTCTACTCGCTTGGACTCTATATAACCCCTACCTTTTTCAACTTTTACACCACTCTCACTCCCTGTCCAGGAAGAAAGATGGCCACCCACCACCCGCCGGACCTCGAGGCCGCCGCCAACGACTCGGTCGCCTCCTCCCCGCGGTCCGAACACCACCCCCACGATCTCCACCAGCGCGTCCGCCTCATGTGCAGCTTCGGCGGCAAGATCCTCCCCCGCCCGCACGATAATCTGCTCCGTTACGTTGGCGGCGACACCCGGATCGTCGCCGTCCAGCGTGCCACCACCTTCAACGCTCTCCTCAACAAGCTCTCCAAGCTCTCAGGCACTAACCAAGACCCTATCTCTATAGCCATTCTGATCTTATGTTCATATGCTCAACAAATTACATGCTTTTTATCGAGATTCTCGTTATCTGGACTATATGGCACGCTCAAATTCAAGACATTTATGAGGGAAGTTCATGTTAAATTGTCCTCTGGTGATGTTATTCAAGTTTTTGCCCAATTTCTCTTGGTGCCCTACTGATTCTTTCTTTATGTCAATCTATACAATTTGCAATGATCTGGTTGATATGAGAAAGATCTTGGATTGATTGAACCAGTATCATAGACGAATTCAGGACTTTTGATGACTATTTAACTTGTTCGAAATTAGATAATATCGCGTTTCATGAGGAAAATAAATTATTTTTTAGGAGGGAATAACAGATCTGCTTTGTCTGCTTCGCTGTCTCCTTGGTTGTGCCTTTCGTTTTTATTGATGGAAGTATTCATTGGAATATGCTGTGTAGGTACGACGAACATTACAGTGAAGTACCAGCTTCCCAATGAAGATCTGGATGCCTTGATTTCGGTGACGACGGACGAGGATATCGAGAACATGATGGAGGAGTACGACCGGGTTGCCCAGAACCAGAACCCGCGGACGGCTCGGCTCCGTCTCTTCCTCTTCAACAAAGGCGACGACTCGCGAACCAGCAGCATTGGCTCGCTCCTCGACGGCTCGTCGAACCGGGAGCAGTGGTTCTTGGACGCCCTCAACGGCGGCGGCGGCGGCCCGCCTCTGTGCCTGGGCCTCGAGCGCCTCCGCTCCGAGGCCTCCTCGATCGTCTCGGAGGTCCCGGACTACTTGTTCGGGCTGGAGATCTCGGAGGAGAATCAGCCCCGCGAGCCCAAATCAAAGGCCCGGAGTTTGCTGCTCGAGACCATCTCGATTTCCGATCCGGGCTCGCCCATCCCCGTCGCCAATTCGTCGTATTGCTCGACCTCTTCAGCGTCCATGCCGGACCTTCCTCCGGTGAAGACGAAGCCCGAGAATCCGGTTCCCAGATCCGACCCTAAGGAAAGCGAGAGTTTCGAGGAAACGGGCGAAACCATAGTCGTGCAGCCGGGCGGGTATCCGGGCAATCCGGCGGGTTACTACCCCACGAGTTCTCACTATTCCGGGCCTCCGATGCAGCACATGCCCGTCTATTACCTCCCGAGTCCCATGCCTCCCAGTAACATGTCAGTCCCGCCCATGATGGCCCGAGGACACTATGTCCAGCACCAGCAGTACCCCGCTTCAGCGGGTCAAATACCGGTCGGCTACCATCAGCCCGGCCCGAGTCCGGGCCAGATGTACGGCGGAGTGGTGAGGTCCGTGGTTGCCGATGGCGTGAGCCACCAGGTATACTACGGGGTAAGCAATGGAGGCATGGTTCCGACGTACCCGCCCGGGATGGTGGTTCAGGCTCCGGGCGGAGAGGATATTCAAGTAGTGGCGGTGGAGGCAAACCCGGGTCGGATCTCACAGCAATCATGACACCATTATTGGGTATAAAACATTTTTTTGCTGGAAGGGCTTTTCCTTCTATCTAATTATTGAGTCGCATGCGGTTGTAATCTACTATTACGATGGTATGAGTTGAGTTATCGAACGCCTTATAATCACCCGTTGGACAGGTGAAAAAAGAAGGAAAATGAGAGAAATTGTCCATAGTGGAAAGAAATACTGTGTATACTGTACAACTGTGTTTTCAATTAATGGAAAACAAAATTATGTAAAATAAATATATATTTACATATATGTTGTGTGGTTTACCATATGTGACGTTAAATTATCCAAAAGTCCATACAATTTCTGAAAAGCTTTTTCAGCCAGACAAAGCTACCCCTTTTTTTCTTTTTCCTTACTTTTCCTTTTTTCTTTTCCTATCTTTTTCTTCCACCAACAACCACAGAAGAGCTGTCCAACCGCCATCGCCGTCGCCATCGCACCCTTGTCATCGCCGCCCTGCCATCGACATCGAAACCGACAGTAGCCGCCGAACCCTTCTCTGATCGCGGAATTTGGTTCGGGTTTGGAGGAGGCTTGCGGTAGGGTGTGGGTTCGTGGGTAAATTTCTTCCCGAAGTTGGTGCCTCTTTTAGGGTGACTTCCTAATTAAGCATTTTCCAATCCTTAATGTCACTGACCCCCCAAGATGGACTTCGAGGTGGTTTAATGGATTTCTAGGCGTGAGCTAATAATCCTCTCATGATGTAACATTTACGTTTGACCTATTTTAGGCCAAGTAGGAACCACATAAAGCATCGAATCCCGCCTTATATCTTCTAACCAAAAATCTTATGTTCAGGAACTTGCTTATGCTAGTTTTACTTAACCCCGTTATCTATATCTTTATTTTTTTTTTTAGAGAAAATGTCATTTTGTGCAATCTTTTTATAATTCTTTAACATGCAAATCGAAGTGGTCATGAGCAAGCATGTAATCAATGGGATGAATCACTAAAAAATAAAAATAATAAGAATAGCAAAGTAAATGAAATAAAAAGGTAAACCGAGCGGTGTATTGGGCAAAATTAACACATGACCTCGTCGTAACACTTCGATCCAAGATCCCTTGAGCTATGCATAAAAGTTAAAGAAAAGAAAGGTCATTCAACTCACCTAACAAACTCTAAATGATGTGCGTTAAAACTGCGAAAAAAACAGACTCAAACCAATCCTTCATGAAACGTGAGAAGCAATTCGATCGCAATTGAAAATTCAAAGAGAACCCATAGAGAATTTATATGAATGGACTCAAAAGTTGAGGCAATTTGAACGCAATTGGTTCAAGCACGGTCCACGACATATTTATCCTCGACATCTCGTATTATTTTCCATATTAAAAGTTGGAAACGGATCCCACAGGAGTGATTACATGCTATGCGATGCCAAAACGGGCGAATTCCTAACAACAAAAACAGATCAGGGCATCGAGATTTGCCCCAGGGACGCGCGAACGGTCCGAGAGAGGGCTGAACACTCACTATTTGAACCGAGGGGCGGTCTGAACAGTGAGCATTCAACCCACTTCCAGGCTCAGTAAAGTCCTAGAAACATGCCTCCACGACTCTAGGGCGGTCCTACACTGCAAATAAGATCGCTAAATGTACGAATGCAAGTTCGAACTAAGATGATATAGACAAAACGAATGTGTGATTATGAACTATTTACTTCTAATGATGATGTCAAAGCAGAATTTTATTCAAATGAAAACGGATAAAAAAACCGCCCGATCAAGCATCAGTCTTTACTCGACAAGGGGTTACATGATGCTTCTGATGAGTTTCACAGAATTTTCTGAGGGATGAATGTACACCAACAAGCGAAACTGTTACTGAGCTCACACCAGCAGGTACTTCACAATATAAAGGAATGGAATGGAGTCGCTCACCTCAATGCGAAGATGGCAGATGGGAACGACCTCGCGAGACGTCAAGGACTGTATCTGGACTCGGTTGAGGAAGAGGAAACCATTGGAGCAGAGACAGCGGATCACCAAGTTGACGACGAGCGCCTCCAGTTCGTCAAGCAATCCTCAAGATTTTCTCTCTTTCTCATAATCTTTCCCCTTTCTGTATACTTTCTTTTTGCTTTCTCTTCTCTTTCCCCGCTGTAATCCCACACTCACTCACACACTCATGCACGAGAATATGCTCCTGAAATCCTCCTTTTAAATGGCTGAGTGAGCGAATATATCTCCAGATGGAGGTCATCTGTCATGGCCAGAAAACCCAAAAAGCCGAGAGGAGCATCAACATCAGTTCTCTCTCTCGTCTGGACGAGATTCCTCATTTTTGGTTCCAATCATTGACTTACCCCTCCCCGAGATCTCTCCAGGAGACCACCACCAAGCACTCTCCGTAGTCGTATTCATCTCTCTCTCTCGTTCCTTCCTTCCTGGCCGAGACTTCCCTTTTCACTTGCATGGAATCCTGTCCCTCCCCTCTCGATCCTTGCCTTGCTTTGAGTGGTGCGAAGTGGAAAGCAACCATGAATGCCATTTCGGTAGAAGAGATGGAGGGGAAGACAAGCAGTTCAATTAGTAGAGAGAGAGAGAGAGAGAGAGAGAGAGAGAGAGAGAGAGGGAGATGAGCCGGGCTTGTAGAGTTTCGCAGGCCTGAGCTTCAGAATCGAAATAAGCCAAGGTTCCCTGTGAACAATAGGGCCCTATTCAGAATCTGTACGGAAGCCTTAGAAAATTTCTCAGTTTCAATTCGGCACAAGATGATTCAGGTCGGGTCGCATATCGGGCCGGTTCACTAAAAATTGTAAGCTTGCGTAAGTCGATGCTCGGTGTAGGCATGCCATGTTTAAGCAAAACTAAATGCTTAATTTCTTATTGCAAAGAAATCAAGTGAAGAATAAGAATGCAGTGCAACTTTGGTATATTTGTTTAAGGGTCAAATTCGGCGGATTTAGTCCCTACTTTTCTACAAAATGCGAAAGAGATCTTTGGGGCGTAAAATTTTAGGTGTCAACACTTATTATATCATATCGTCTTTCACAAATTTTGGATATGAGGAAATGAGTTTCCCTTTTGCGTAAATCGTCTTTGATAATTGAGAGTACAAAAAACTCATCTAAAATGGGCTCGAAGTGCCTGGGCTAGAAGTGTAACCAATTCACGAAGATAGATGGCATCGAGATTGACACCCTCTTGAACTTCTGCCTATTAATATATGGAGGATACTCCCGTTCCGTTAGCCGATTTTTTTTTTTGTTCTGGTAGATTTTTAAAGGAGTTGATGAATGCCAAAAAAAAAATATTGGTGAAGACAACTATCCATTACCTCATTTCCTATAACTTATTTGTAATTTACCGACACTTTCATAAAACTAACTGAAGGAGACGAGAATTAAAGACTTAGATGTCCGCCTTTTATGCCCAGTTTATCATTGGTTTATAGTTCGAAAGTCAAGTGTACATTATTTATTGAGCCTCTTGAGTTTATTAATCTTTTCTTACCCATTTGTCCGGTCAATCCTACGCGGGGAAACTCATTATATGGTTCTTCTTAATTTACCAACTTTACTTTACTGATTATCAGCTTTTATTTTCCTTTCTTAATGCTTAATTAATTTAGCACGTTTTCTATTGAGTTACCAACTTCTCTTTGCCATTCTGACTATTTTTAAGACTTATCAACTCTTTTAGAAATTACGAATCTTAATTAGAGCGATTACCAACTTTTTTCCAATTAATTACCATCTCGTTTCGCTTTAACAACTGTTAATTGAATTTATTGCCGACATAGTTTGGTTTATGTTACCAACTTCTTTTATTTAGACAAAAAAAATCCATTATCTAAAATCAACTTTTATTATCGTTTTTATCAACTTGAATTCACCAATTAATGAAATTAACCGACCTTTATTAAGTTATTGACTAGTTTTGGATTATCAACTCTCATTTGAGGTACCACAATGTTTGTTTCTTTCTTTTTTCCTTTTTTTTTAAATTATTAACTTCTTACTGTTTCTCAACTTTTATTTGCCTTACGTACCAATTTTCTAAATACTAATTCATGTTATGAAATTACCAATCTCAATTAGAGTGATTATCACAGTCTCCATTTATGTTACCAATGAGTTTGTTGCCAGTTCTTATTTCAGTTGATTAATAATGTCCATTTATTTTTTTTCTTTTGAATTACAATCTTCTCTTATCTTTGAAGATGAACTTAATTCTTTTATCATGTAACTACTTTTATTTACCTTTTTTACCACTGGGCTAAATTTACAGTTCTAAAACTTGTCATGAAAGTGCAGTTGAGTCCTAAATCTTTCAAAAAGTGCAATCAAGTCCTAAAACTTATCAAATTAGTGCAATCAAGTCCATCCGTTATCTCTGTTCAATTTGGCTAAAGCTAAATACTGACGTGGCTAAAACATGAAGGACAAGGCCAAAACAATGTCATTTTGGTCCAAATATAATTTTTTAATCTAAGTATTATTTAAATTTAATTAAAAATAAATATTTTTTTTAAAAAGCAAAAGCCCTTGCCTACGGTCGCCGGGGCTTGGCGACCCCGGCTGAGCCTCGCTCCACCATCACCTTTTCGGCGTTGGTGGGCGGCAGCGGTGAGGACCCCGCAGGCACTCACTCGGTTTGTACTCTTTATAATTTTTTTCATTTTTTAATCTAATTTAAATGATATTTAGATTAAAAAATAGATTTGGACCAAAATGATGTCGTTTTTGCCTTGTCCTTCATGCTTTAGGAGAGAGAGAATAATAAAAAAAATCACGTTAGTGTTTTCCGTTAGCGAAGTTGGATAGAGTTAATAGAAGAACTTGATTGCACCAATTTGACAAATTTAATTTGACAAGTTTTAGGACTTGATTGTACTTTTTGAAAGTTTTAGGACTTAATTGCAATTTAGTGACAGGGTTTTAGGATTTTCAGTACACTTATCCCTAAAAACAACTAAGAGTTGACAGCTTAATCAAAGAAAAGTTGATATTTATTCTAACTGAGGTTAGTAATATTTAAAAGAGTTGATAAATTTAATAAGTGAGAGAAAAAGCAGTAACTCATAGATTAGTTGGCTTCAACAAAAAAAAAAATAGATTAGTTGGTAAATTTAAGAAAAAACAAAAAGACGCTACTAAACAAAACAAATGAGAGTTTATAAACAAATAAACTACTCGGTAACTTAATCAAAGAAAAATTGGTAAGCCACACGAATAAAGATTAATACTTTCATAAAATAGTTGGTAAATTTAAGAGTTGAGTAAGAAATGTAAATAGAAATCGATAAACGAAAAGAAGCTTTTTTATGTATTAGAGATAAGAGATGTTGGTAATTTAAACAAAAACCAAAATAACATTGGTTACTAACTCAAATGAGAGTTGGTAATGCAATATTAGTTGGTAACTTAGTTGGAGAAATTTGATAATTACTTTAATTGAAGTTGATAATTTGTAAAATAAGTTGGTAAATTTAAAAAAAGTTGGTAAGTTAACCAGATGAAAATTTGATAAAATTTAGAGAAAAAATGAATAAACGTTGGTAACTAATTACTTAAATGACAGTTAGCAAAAAAATAGTAGGTAATTTAATCAAAGCAAAGTTGATGAGTCACCCTAAAGGTTGGTAATTTGATATAATTGGTTGGTAAATGTAGGGC